ATCACAGAGACGTAAATTACGTGATATTAGTTTGAACGTCTCCCGCTGCGCTGATAAGGTACCAAGTACTTATGATGAGTAGCGATATTGAATTCCCCATGAGTGGATACTCAAGCAGTGTGAGCAGCTCTCGCTGTGAGTGGAGTTTGCCACACTACTCCTCCACCCTCCCCCGCTCTGAAGGGCTTTATTCCACAGCGTGGCATCTGTTGCTCCAAGCACGAGCTGCAAACCTGTGCGATTAGTCGGTATCTGGTATATATTAGGACATATCATAGATATAATATTTTTATATGGAGATAAAGATGTTTGCCAATCCCTAATTGTAACTTTACAACTACAATTAAACCTCACAGGCCAAATAGTAGATTTAAAATTAATCATGAGTTGAGATTTATGAGCCCTGGGGAGTGGGGACTGCTTGAAATGTCCTCTCAAGTTGGTTTTCATCATGTTTTACTATATTAGCAATGACATTTTCAAAAACGAATTAACTGTTTTACGTCTCAGAAAAACACACTATGGCGTTCCTGAATGAACCACAAATCGGTTGAGTAAATGATTCAATGACTCAAATACAAAATAGCATACTAGAATATTACTCTTATTATTTATGACATATAACACAGAAATAGTAAGTAAGCTATTCCGACTCCTAAATGAATCGGTTGAGTAAATGAGTCAATGACTCACTCGTTTGACAGTCACTTGTCGCCACCTACTGGCAAAATGCCTGCAGAAATGGCCCATTGCTCTGGTCTGTTATATCAGCATTCTCAGAACGCCGCGCAACCAATGAGATTTGACTGGAACTAACTGTTTAGAACAAAATGTTCTTAAAATCAGACATTTTCAGATCAGATCAAACAGCATAGGCTCAATAACATGCAAATTATTAACACAACAAAACATGACAGAAAATTGGACATTTTAAATGCATAAACAACAGCAGGAGTATGATTCACCAGCCTCACACATGGAGCAAACACTGGGCCAAATATTATATTAGCATTAGCTATATTACAAAGTGAAAGGTGAGTCTGCACCAAAATACTGTAGTTTGATTGGACACACAGCTTTTGATATCAACAACACAAGATATAGGAAGTGTTTTCTTCTCCATTATAAAAAGTATTATGTAAAAATATAAAAAGTAAGTCTATTTGTTTTGCTGTCCTAACTACCGCACAGTTATTTGGTTAGTTGCCATTTATTAGTGGCATTTAGCAATGTTTTTCCCTGTTAACCACAACCCTATCACAACAGACTGGAGAACACCTGCTATCGCTATCTAAATAAGGAAATACTGTAAACTTCTATTGTTGATAATATACAATCAACTATAATTACTAAAGACTAACACTGTAACCCACTAAAGACCACTTCATTTTTCTAGATGACCTATATATGCCACTAATCAGATGACAGAGTATTAAAGGTGCACACCTGAGAGTAAGTGATTGTGATCCTATGAGAGAGAGAGAGAGAGAGAGAGAGAGAGAGAGAGAGAGAGAGAGAGAGAGAGAGAGAGAGAGAGAGAGAGAGAGAGAGAGAGAGAGAGAGAGAGAGAGAGAGAGAGAGAGAGAGAGAGAGAGAGAGAGAGAGAGAGAGAGAGAGAGAGAGAGAGAGAGAGAGAGAGAGAGAGAGAGAGAGAGAGAGAGAGAGAGAGAGAGAGAGAGAGAGAGAGAGAGAGAGAGAGAGAGAGAGA